TCTAAACGAGGTAACCCCTCTGCTTGGGAGGGTGGTGGTGGTCTAGGGGATCCATCCCGTCGGCGATGATCATCGCCATGTCCTCCTCGTCCACCTCCTCTTCGTCATCGGGCTCCACCTCCTCGTCCAGGCGGACGAACGGACGCTGCGAGCCGGGAGGGGGGGCGCCACCACCACCGCCGCCACGCTGGGGCTGGTGGGTGACGGTGGCGTAGACCGGAACACCGCCGGCCGGGGTGGTCCCCGCCCCGACATGGAGCGCGGAGTCCAGGGGGGCCGCACGCAGCGAGGAGACCATGGAGGAGGCGGAGGAGGAGGAAGGTTGCGGCACCGTGTCGTACTGGGGCGGCGGGGAGACAAAGGTGGGCTGGATTTGGGGGGGGGGAAGGCGGGGGTAGGAGGAGGAGGGTGAGAGAGAGAGGACACGTGGTGTGTTTGAGAGCTCCTGCAAAAGTCTCGACAACAACAAAAAAATTTCGATTTTAAGCTGCTTTCGTGACTGCAGGGATTCATCTTCTTGGTTCTTTCGGTAAAGTCGTCACGTAGAAGGGAAATAATAAAATAATAAAAAATTTAATATAATAAAATAATAAAAAATTTAACATAATAAAACATAAAACATAATAAAATAAAACATAATAAAACATAATAAAATAAAACATAATAAAATAATAAAAATAAAACATAATAAAATACTGCTGCAGCTCCTTACTATTAAAATGCCTTCCCTTTATTACTGCTAACCCTACCCCCTCCCTTTGTTGCTGCTAATCCTACATAATGCACGGGCATAATATGACTTTGAGACCCCCCCCCCCCCCCACCTCCTACGCATTCCACAAGTAGTGACTAATCTCATATCTGCATTTCCCATAAATATGCTAAATTCCTCTGTTGATATGCAAATTCCTTTGTCAAGGTGCCCTTCCTCCCCTAACCCAGCTTAAATATACGCTGCCAAGCCTGGTGGTGTTCATTCAGACGCTGTCTATCCGACAGACCTGTTCTTCACCTGAGGACGGCTGCTTGCGTTGTGCCAGAAACGTCGTGAGAATTGTATTTTATTATGTTTTATTTTTATTATTTTATTATTTCCCTTCTACGTGACTTTACCGAAAGAACCAGGAAGAACAACAAAAGAAACCTCATTCTAGATTTGAAGCTTTCGTGACTGCAAGGATTCATACTCTTAGGTGTTTTCGGTAAAGTCACGTAGGTAAAAAAATAATAAAATAAAATAATAATAAATGAAATAAATCAATTAAATCACGACGTTTCGGAGGCAACACAAGTCTTCAGGTGGGACCGTCACAGCTAAATTTACTGTATCAATTATTTTCATTTATTATTATTTGATTTTATAAATTTTTTACCTATGTGACTTTACCGAAAAAACCTAAGAGTATAAAAGAAACCTCCACACTTATTCAGCCTTTTCGAATTCTCTCCCCTCTTCTGCGTCTCTCTCTCTATCTCCCTGTGATGAGATGTTAACTACCTCGCCTGATATGCAGGAGGTCGCCAGTTCTATCCTGGACCCTGACAACATCTGCTGCTGCTGCTGTATATTTGGAGTGGTGGTCACTGCTTGGATTTTTCTCCGGGTCCTTTCGGTTTTTCCCCTCCGCATTTAGAATAATCAGCATTGCGCATTCACACTATTTGGCTGCTGCTGTAATTGTCCACGTGATGGATCATAAGGACCCTGGCTTGGTTGAGCTGCCATCATTCTGGTCGCCTGGTCGCTTCGGAATAAGAGTTACACGGCTCAGTGCGGCCTTAGCTGGTGTAATACAAAATAGTTTGAGTCTATGGGTCTCGATGTATCTATATGGGTCAGACCCTGCTGGTGCCATGAGTTGACTGCTGTGCCAGGCTCGGTGCAGAAGGAGGTCACGGGACAGACACAGCAGGTGCCATGGGGTTGACTGCTGTGCCAGGCTAGGTGCAGGAGGAGGAGGTCACGGGACAGACCCTGTAGGTGGAGGGGGCGGGTGGAGGGGGGGTGGAGGGGGGGTGGAGGGGGGGGTGGATGCGTCGCATCGCCACCCCCCCTCGCTACCCCCCCCTCCACCCCCCCCCCTCCACCCCCCCCCCCCTCCACCCCCTCAACTCAAACCCGCAGCCTCACCTGGAGCTGCGATGGAGTTTTCCCGCCCCCGAACAAACTGGGCGGGCCGCCCCCGGCACGTGACGCCACTCCCCCCTGGGAGGACAGGGGTCGCGACGAGCCGGCGTGGGAGGTCAGGGGTCGCGAGGAGCCGGCCTGGGAGGTCAGGGGTCGCGAGGAGCGCGACTGGGAGCGCGATGACGGGGGCGGAGGAGACTCGTCCATCCTAGACGATGGGGGAGCGTGGAGCACACAGACACACAGACACACGCACACAGACACACACACACACAGACGCACGCACACACACATACATGCACGCACACAGATACAGACAAAGGTTACTCGTGAAGCTCACGCCACGCGTGCGGGCACGGGAAGGGGGGCAAGTGCTGTTTGGTAGCGAGCAGTAAGAGCAGCAGCAGCTGCAGCAGCAGGAGCAGCAGCAGCAAGAGGAGCAGCAGCAGCAGCAGCAGCTGGAGCAGCAGCAGCAGCAGCAGCAGGAGCAGCAGCAGCAGGAGCAGCAGCAGCAGGAGCAGCAGCAGCGGCAGCAGCAGCAGCAGCAGCAGCTGGAGCAGCAGCAGCAGCAGCAGCTGGAGCAGCAGCAGCAGCAGCAGCTGGAGCAGCAGCAGCGGCAGCAGCAGCAGCAGCAGCAGCTGGAGCAGCAGCAGCAGCAGCAGCTGGAGCAGCAGCAGCTGCAGCAGCAGGAGCAGCAGCTGCAGGAGCAGCAGCAGCAAGAGGAGCAGCAGCAGCAGGAGCAGCAGCAGCGGCAGCAGCAGCAGCAGCTACAGCAGCAGCTGGAGCAGCAGCAGCTGAGGCAGCTGGAGCAGCAGCAGGTGGAGCAGCAGCAGCTGGAGCAGCTGGATCAGCAGCAGCTGGAGCAGCAGCAGCTGGAGCAGCTGGATCAGCAGCAACTGGAGCAGCAGCAGCTGGAGCAGCAGCAGCAGCAGGAGCAGCAGCAGCAGCAGCAGCTGGAGCACCACCCCTGGCACTCACACAGACACACAAGGACAAAGATCCCTCGAATCGCCTAGAACAGTAGCAGCGCCTAATGAAGGCTACCGGCACTGTGAAGGCTACCGGCACTGTCGCACACGAGGCGGTGGCAGTGGCCAGCAACCACGCCCGGCCGCCTTTGTCTCTCCCCCAGCGGGGCGATGTTTACTACCACACGCAGCAGCAGCAGCACCAAGTAACTCAGTTGAGGCCGAGTCGACCCAGCGGAGGCCCAGGACCAGTTCAGATAATCGTCACTGGTGGCGTTGGTCACGAGCGGGAATCGAACTCGGGGTCGCCCGATTCCAAGCGAAGCGCACTAATTGTTACACGACCGCTCCCCACTCAACAATACCAGTACCCGTCATTTGCCACTAGGTGAGGGTGATGTCACCACAGCGCCTGTGCCAGGCCAGGTGCACTTTGAATCCACGTCAAGTGTCGAAGCCTCAGACCCATCAGGTGCCATGGGTTGGCTGACCGAGATGACCGGTAGATGCACCACCAGCCGTATCCCCCTACTCTGCCAACTTGTTTCATTTTAGCTACCCGGCGCTCCGCTCGTTGTTGTGAGCGTCGCTCCTCTGCCCTCCGTTGTTGTTGGAGGGCGACTGCCTCCAACTGCCCAGTGGCAGCATCCTTCACGAGCCTCCTCCACAGAGGCCGATCTTGACACCGCTGGTACGGGTCGTCGGCAAGTCCACTCAGCTCCACATCCTCCTGTACCGCATCAGTCCATCACTTCTCCAGCCCATGTCGTGCATGTTAAGCCCCCTCTATGCGGCCAAACCGAAGCTGCTTCCTGGTCTCAGACTCTGGATCACCTTCAGTACATCCTCAACAGATGGCACCTCAGTCAGCCACTCACAGGGGGTGACTTTTTCCAATATTTGGGGCACCGCAGCCTCGGCAGGGTCATCCCCACTTTGTCCCAAGTTGTTTTCCAGGCTGAGGGATTTCCTCTCCCCCAGGACCTCACAGAAATGCTCAGCAAATCTGCAAACCTGTTCCTGGGGGTCGGAGATTGGATCACCGTTCTTTCCCCTAATGATGGTAATAGGTGTGGCGCTGCAGGTTACTTTTTTTACGGAATTAAAGAGCGATTTGTGATCACGGGCCATTGAGGCAGACTCCATCTCCTCAGCAACCAGCGACCACCACCCATCCTTGCAGCGCCTCACAGCTCTCCAAACCTCTGAGCCAAGGCTGCGGTAAGCCTCCTCATTCTCCGACGTGGGATGCTGTAGCCGATAGAGTGGGCCTTTCACTTTTTCTCAGCCAGCTTGAACACCTCCTCTGTCAGCCGGGGTCTCTGGGGAGGTCTGGACCGTGTACCCAAAGCAGCCATTGCAGCTGCATGAGCCACAGTCCTAAACCTCGCCCATTTCCCCTCAACATCAGGAGGAGTGGGGGACGATGCCAACCGCAAGCGATGATGAAATTTTCGCTTGCAACTTTCATCAGCTAGATGAGACCATGCCACTAAGGGTTTGAATGGGGTCCTGGGTGTACACCCACCACCGGAGTGGAAGAATGGCATCCGCTGTTCCATCATTATGTAGTCCAGCAGATGTTCTTGCTTGGACCCAACATGCATCCATGATGTTGTGTGGATGCGCCAATGCCGGAACAGCGTGTTGGTAATTACAAGCCCATGGGCTTCACACAAATCTAGCAGCCTCCTGCCATTGTTATTGAGCTGATCTGGCCCATGCCTTCCAATCTCTCCAGACCAGGTGCCAGCATCATGACCAAGTCAGGCATTGAAGTCACCCAACAGGATGACTCTATCCCGATGGGCCACTTTAGCTAGCACTTGTGACAGGAGGTCATAGAAGGCATCTGACTCATCGGCCTTGCCTGCATCCCTCCATGGATGTTCGTATTCGGTGGGGGCATAAGTAACCACGACCACCACTCCTCGCCTCTGGTTGATGGGAAGGCGAGCCCAAAGTAGCCTGCAGCTTACAGCTTCCCACACCTCACCGCCACGCTCCCACGCCCCCTTCATTCTTTTGTTCAGAAGAAGAGCCACTCCCTGTTGTTTGGCAGTCTCCTGCCCCGAGTAGAGGACTGTCCACCCCTCATAGTGGCAGGAGCCAGAGCTGGTCCACCGGACCTCCTGAATTCCACAGAGATCCAGGCGGTACCGGTCCAGCTCCCGACAAAGGAGTGGCAGCCTCTCCTCCGTAGTGAGCGTTCGAACATTCCACGTGGCCATCCGTAGAGGAGCCCCGAGGGTAAAGATTCAATCTCCTGGCTCCGGTAAAACAACCCCCTACCTCCTCGTGGTGCCGGATGGGCAACGCTGTCGTGGACAGTGCTGTGGGGGGGAGGGCCAATTCCAATTGGCCTTTCCTCTCATGGCGTCTTTGACCACCACAGCGGCTAAATGGGGGCTCTGGACGAGTGCGAGGGGCTGGTAACCCCTCCACCTTCAATTAACTACCACTAAACTACGACCGAAAAATTTAATTAACAAGCTTGTGCCAGAGGCCCCGGGGGGACAGGCGTCTACGACGTCTCCTGGCCAAACCCCACACATTGACTCAACAACCGCCATTCGCCACTAAGTGGCGGTGACGTCACCACGACGCTTGTGCCAGGCCAAGTGCACCTTGAGGCCACGTGAAGTGTCCAACGCCCGCTGGCAGGAGGTCACGGGGCAGACCCAGCAGGTGCCACGGGTCGACTGACCGAGATGACCGAGATGACTCACACACACAGACAAACAAAGATACCACCCTGCCCCCCACCACCACCACCACCACCCCATCTCCCACAAGCAGCAGCAGCAGCAGCCCGACTGACCGTATGACGTGCGACAACTCCTTTTCCTTCCTCTTGAGGTTCCTCCTCCTCACGCAGCACACGACCACGGCGATGGCGAGCGCGATGAGGAGGATGGGGCACACGATGGCCGCCACTAAGGACCCCACGTTCGTCTCCTTGTCTGTGGGGGGGACCCGGGGGTCACAAAGGCCGGGGGTCAGAGACACGGAGTTCTCTCTTCTTACTCTTAGTTCTTTCGGTAAAGTCACGTAGGTAAAAAATTAAATAAAAATAAATAAAAATAAAGCAATTAATTTTTCTTTTATTAAATTAAAAAATGAAATAATAGTTAATAAAAATAAAGCAATTAATTTTTGTTTTATTAATTTTATTTAATTTTTTACCTACGTGACTTTACCGAAAGAACTAAGAGTATGAATCCTTGCAGTCACGAAAGCTTCAAATCTAGAATTCTCTCTTCTTGCTTCAGAGCCTCCCTCCCTCTCTCTCTCTCTCCAGGTGAGGGGGGAGGCAAGGTGGGGGTTGTGGCAGTTGGTTGGGGTGGGGGGGCAGGTGGGAGTTGTGGCAGTTGGTTGGGGTGGGGGGGCAGGTGGGAGTTGTGGCAGTTGGTTGGGGTGGGAGGGGGGCAGGTGGGGGTTGTGGCAGTTGGTTGGGGTGGGGGGGGCAGGTGGGAGTTGTGGCAGTTGGTTGGGGTGGGGGGGGGGGGCAGGTGGGGGTAGTGGCAGTTGGTTGGGATGGGGGGGGGATCAGGTGGGGGTTGTGGCAGTTGGTTGGGGTGGGGGGGGGATCAGGTGGGAGTTGTGGCAGTTGGTTGGGGTGGGGGGGGCAGGTGGGGGTTGTGGCAGTTGGTTGGGGTGGGGGGGGGCAGGTGGGGGTTGTGGCAGTTGGTTGGGGTGGGGGCAGGTGGGGGTTGTGGCAGTTGGTTGGGGTGGGGGGGGCAGGTGGGGGTTGTGGCAGTTGGTTGGGGTGGGGGGAGCAGGTGGGGGTTGTGGCAGTTGGTTGGGGTGGGGGGGGGCAGGTGGGGGTTGTGGCAGTTGGTTGGGGTGGGGGGGGGAGCAGGTGGGGGTTGTGGCAGTTGGTTGGGGTGGGGGGGGGGAGCAGGTGGGGGTTGTGGCAGTTGGTTGGGGTGGGGGGGGGAGCAGGTGGGGGTTGTGGCAGTTGGTTGGGGTGGGGCAGGTGGGGGTTGTGGCAGTTGGTTGGGGTGGGGGGGCAGGTGGGAGTTGTGGCAGTTGGTTGGGGTGGGGGGAGGGAGCAGGTGGGGGTTGTGGCAGTTGGTTGGGGTGGGGGGGGAGCAGGTGGGGGTTGTGGCAGTTGGTTGGGGTGGGGGGGGGCAGGTGGGGGTTGTGGCAGTTGGTTGGGGTGGGAGCAGGTGGGGGTCGTGGCAGTTGGTTGGGGTGGGGGGGGGAGCAGGTGGGGGTTGTGGCAGTTGGTTGGGGTGGGGGGCAGGTGGGGGTTGTGGCAGTTGGTTGGGGTGGGGGGGGAGCAGGTGGGGGTTGTGGCAGTTGGTTGGGGTGGGGGGGCAGGTGGGGGTTGTGGCAGTTGGTTGGGGTGGGGGGTGGGTGGGGTGGGTAGGGTGGGTGGGGTGGGTAGGGTGGGTAGGGTGGGTAGGGTGGGGCGAGTGAAACAACTGGGTGGGGAGTGGTGGGACAACGGTGAGGGTAGAGCGAGTCCTCACGCTGTGCGATGTGGAGCTGCTGCTCGCAGGAGTCTGTCCCCACTGTGTTGGTGGCCGTGCAGCGGTACGTCCCCGCGTACGCCAGAGTCGCGTTCTTCAGCGCCAGCGTGCCCACTTCCATTTCTGTAATGCGTACGGAGGGGGTGAGAGGAGGGGGGGGTTAAATTAACAAATAAAAACGTTGCCTGCTTAGCGAGCAGCATTGTATGCACATTATGTACCGTGACGTTATTATAATGACAATGAGTTCAGTTTGATATCACAGTCTAAACTCAACTAATCTTTCTTATACATATGTAATGTGAGCATATATCCGGGTGGTTGATGGATCACACCTCGTTACGACGATTGGCTCTACCGGTCTTGGCCCATAGCCAATGGGGGGAAGTCTAGGGGCGTGGCCTTGACGTAATGGGAAGGTGACATCTGTAAGTAGAGGATTGGATCTGCTGGCTTTAGCCACAGCCAATGGGGGGACGAGTCAGGGGCGCGGTCCTGGGAACGTACGATGGAGTCTAGAAGATTCCATGGAGGTTAACCAGGATTGGTGGAAAGGTACCACGTGACCCTGGTATTAAAAGGGGTCGAGACGGACAACACGTGGTCAGATCTGGAACGAGCGGAAAGGAGAGGCCACGCTGGAGCGGGGTCCAGGCTGCCACGTGGCCGCGCGTGTCTCTCTCTCTCTCACGCTGTCTGTCAGCAGCGTGAAGGAGTAAGATGGGAGTGTTGTGAACGAAAGACAAATAAAGACCGGATTCCAGAAGTTGCTTCCACGACCTTCATTACACTCGTGCCTTGAGGAGTGGAGTGCTGACGTCAGGTCACACTCGCCTCGGGGGGGAATGCCGTCAAGGTAAAGTGACGTCATGCCCCCCGGGGTATTTGAGGGGAGCCCTGTGACATGGACGGGGTCTTCGCGGGGAGCCAGGAGAGTGAGTGGTTAGGGGTGTAGGGGGCTCCGGGATAAAGGGCTGCTTTACCCGGCTGATTGCGTTGTGGCCGAAACGTCGTGAGAATGGTATCTTATTATGTTTTAATTTTATTATTTTATTATTTCCGTTCTACGTGACGACTTTACCGAAAGAACCAAGAAGATGAATCCCTGCAGTCATGAAAGCTTTAAATCGAAATTTAGTTGTACTCACTACAGGTGCATAGAGCCCGACATAGATACAGTGACATACATAAACTAAACCATTTTGTATTATGCCAGTTAAGGCCGCAATGTGCTGTGTAGCTATACTCTTAGTTCTTTCGGTAAAGTCACCATGTAGGTAAAAAATGAAATTAAAATTAATAAAAATAAAACAATAAAATCACGACGTTTCGGAGGCAACACAAGTCTCCGTCATCAGGTGGGACCGTCACAGCAAGATTTGCTGCATCAAGTGAGGGAGGGATTCAAGATGCAAATTCTTAAGTACCAGTTAAGGGGGGAGGATAGGGGGGGAGGAGCTTATCAGAATGTGGTAGCCAATGAATGGAACGTATCGGGAGGGGGGGCGGGGCTAAAAGAGGGCACGGGGTACTCGTGGGCGTTGACGTGTTTGTGCGCAAGTCACTGTGGATGCACATGATAGAAAGCTGTGTAGCGCTTCTTCAGAAGCGACCTGGCGATCAGAACGATGGCAGCTCAACCAAGCGGCTGTTTGTCATCCATCACGTGGACAATTACAGCAGCAGCCAAATACTCTGAACACGTGAAGTTGATTCTAAACGTGGAGGGAGGAGGACCCGGAGAAAAATCCACGCGACCACGGGGAGAGAGAGAGAGACACCGCAAACTCCAAACATGCAGCAGGCTTCAGGGTCGGAATGAACCAACAACCTCCTGTATACCAGGCGAGGGAGTTCACATCTCCTAGCCACCATGATGATGATGATGAGAGAGAGACACCGCAAACTCTAAACATACAGCAGGCTTCAGGGTCGGAATGGAACCAACAACCTCCTGTATACCAGGTGAGGGAGTTCACATCTCCTAGCCACCGTGATGATGATGAGAGAGAGAGAGAGAGACACCGCAACCTCCAAACATACAGCAGGCTTCAGGGTCGGAATGAACCAACAACCTCCTGTATACCAGGTGAGGGAGTTCACATCTCCTAGCCACCGTGATGATGAGAGAGAGACAGACAACGCAACCTCCAAACATACAGCAGGCTTCAGGGTCGGAATGGAACCAACAACCTCCTGTATACCAGGCGAGGGAGTTCACATCTCCTCGCCACCGCAGCGACTCATGATTGTGAGCAGCAAAGGGTCAGCGACCCCACAATCATGAAAAACAACCCAGAGCCCTGGCCTGTTGACCATATAATAGGCCTTGACCAGGCCACACGAAGACAACAACAGACTGTTGGGGTAAGTGCTGTTAGCGAGCAGCAGCAGAAGCATGCCGAGCCGACTTTGTCTCCCGGGTGGCGATGTTTACTATACACCACCACCACCATCACCACGACCGCACCAGGTAACTCATTTGAGGCCGAGTCGACTTAGGGGAGGCTTAGGACCGGTTCAGATAATCGTCACCGGTGTTGGCCGTGAGCAGGAATCGAACTCGGATCACCAGTTTTGAAGCTTTCGTGACTGCAAGGATTCATACTCTTAGGTTTTTTCGGTCAAGTCACAATACATAATGAAAATAAATAATAATTTTTTTTAAATAATTGAAATAATAATAGAAATAAAATAATAAATCACTTTCATTATTTCTATTATTTTTCTTATTTATGAATTAGTGAATATAATTTATTTATTTTTACCTACGTGACTTTACCGAAAAAACCTAAGAGTAATGGATCACCAGGTTCGCAGCGAAGCGCTCACTGCTACACCACCAACTCCCCACGACAGACACACACAAGCGCACTACAAAGACAAACGTGCCCAGTGCGCTATAAACAACAACAACCGTCATTCGCCACTAGGTGGTGGTAACTGCGCTTGTGCCAGGCCATGTGCACGTTGAGGCCACGTGAGATGATGAACGCCCGCTGGCAGGAGGTCACGGGACAGATCCAGCAGGTGCCACGGGTCGACTGACTGAGATGAGTGGCTGATGTACCTCCTGTGCCCAATACTGTGCCAACTAGCTGTGCTTTAGCCACCCGGCGCTCCGCTCGTTGTTGTGAGCGTCGCTCCTCTGCCCTCTGTTGTTGTTGCAGCGTCCTTCACGAGCCTCCTCCACAGAGGCCGATCTTGACACCGCTGGTATCAGCCATCGGTAAGTCCACTCAGCTCCACATCCTCTTGTACCACATCAGCTCCATCTCGTATCTAGCCCGTGCCGTGCCCGTTTAGCCCCCTCTATCTGGCCGAACAAAAGCTGTTTAGGCATGCGGTGGCTGGGCATGTGGGCTACATGACCCACCTACCTTCACACACACACACACTGACTGTCAAACTTACTTACCACCACTAGCACTCACTCACCACCACCACCACACACAGCACCACCACAAACGCAGCACCACCACTACACACAGCACCACCACCACACACAGCACCACCACCACCACACACAGCACCACCACCATCACCACACGCATGCACACTACACACACATACAGCACCAACACCACCACCACACACACTACACACACACTACACACACACTACACACACACTACACACACACACGTGCACGGCATTCATACAGAGACACGGACCTTGCTTGGCCGTGGACGGCATGCTGCCGCCGATGCCTCCCGTGTAGGTCCAGGTGTAGGTGATGGGGGCGGTGCCCTCGGTGCTGACGCAGCCGAGCACCAGATCCTCCCCCACAGCCGGCGAGCCGCTCTTAATGGAGCAGCGCGTGGCACTCGGGACCGCTGGTCAAGCAATGTGGAAAGTCGCAATGAGGAACGTCGCAATGAGGAATGTCGCAATTAGGAACGTCGCAATGAGGAACGTCGCAATGAAGAAAGTCACAATGCGGAACGTCGCAATGAGGAACGTCGCAATGAGGAATCTCGCAATGAAGAACATCGCAATGAGGAACGTCACAATGAGGAACGACGCTAACGTGGAATGTCGAAATGAGGAACGACGCAATGAGGAACGTTGCAATGTGGAGCGTCGCAATGAAGAACATCGCAATGTGGAATGTCGCAATGATAAAAGTTGCAATACACAGAACGTCACAATGAGTAGAACATGACAATTCTTCTCCAGCCCGTGCCACTCACTATCTCAATACCAACACCGAAACTACCAATACACGCCGTTCACCACTAAGTGACGGTGACATCACCGCGGCACCCGTGCCAGGCCAGGCTCACTCTCCCACCCACTCAATCACCTCAACACACCCACTTACCGTGCCACTCACTCACCCATCAAGTCCATCTCTTCTCCAGCCCATTTCACTCACTCACTCACCCACTCACCAATTAATCCATCTCTTTTCTAGCCCATGCCACTCACCCACCCACTCACCTATCAGTTCATCTCTTCTCTAGCCCATACCACTCACTCGCTCACTCACCTATCAGTCCAGCTCATCTCTAGCCCGTGCCACTCATCCATCCACTCATTCATTCACCCACCCATGCACCTACCCACCGACTCACCTACATACTCACCCACCAATCAGTCCATCTCTTCTCTAGCCTGTGCCACTCACTCACCCACCCACCCACCCACCCACTCACCCATCACATAATCTCTTCTCTAGCCCGTGTCACTCACTCACTCACTCACCCACTCACCTATCATTCCATTTCTTTTCTCGCCCGTGCCACTCACCCACTCAACTATCAGTCCGGCTCATCTTTAGCCCGTGCCACTCATCCATCCACTCATTCACTCACCCACCCACGCACCTACCCACCGACTCACCTACATACTCACCCACCAATCAGTCAATCTCTTCTCCAGCCCGTGTCACTCACCCACTCACCCACCCATCACGTAATCTCTTCTCGAACCCGTGTCACTCACTCACCCCACAGAGCACCACCTCCTTCCCACCACCATCTCCACCCCACCTTCCCCTTAACCCCCCTCTCCCACCCCCCCCCCCCCTTAACCCCCCTCTCCCACACCACATCTCACCCATGACGGTAAGCGCGATGGTGCGGCTGGCGGTGCCGGGCATCTGCTTCACTTTGCACAGGAAGGTGCCGGTGTCGTGGGTGCCGAGCTGGGACAGCTCCACGGAGGCGTCACCCGTCGACGGATCGGCGAGCGTGAACCGGACGCGGCCGCGGTGCGCCGGCGATGTGTCGGTGTACGTGCGGCTCCCCGTGTAAGTGGCGAACTGATTGGGGGGGGGGGGGGGGGGATGAACCGGCCATACAGTCAGGGGGCGAGAGCGGTTAACACTGAACACAACAACAACACAACAACTACACAACATGATAATTGTTTTTTTTACCCTTCTATCTGGCAACAAAACTGACACCTTTTTTTACAAGGAGTCATGTTTGCATAGACCACAATACCTGCGGTCGTAATGCAAACAAAAAACATAACTCTGATAATGTATGCACTATCCTTGAAGTTGATTGGTCCACACCCAAGACAGCTTTCCTTAGAGCCTAGTCTCACATGGTGTTGGACCAGATGATGCCAAAAAGTGTGTACTGGCTGTAGTAGTAGCTATACTAACTCTATAGCAGTGTGTACTGGCTGTAGTAGTAGCTATACTAACTCTATAGCAGTGTGTACTGGCTGTAGTAGTAGCTATACTAACTCGATAGCAAATTTCGATTTAAGGCTTTCGTGACTGCAGGGATTCATCTTCTTGGTTCTTTTGGTAAAGTCACGTAGAAGGGAAGTAATAAAATAATAAAAATAAAACATAATAAAATAATTCTCACGACGTTTCGGCCACAACAAAAGCAGCCGTCCTCAGGTGAAGACCAGGTCTGTCGGGGAGACAGCGTCTGAATGAGGACGGCTGCTTGCGTTGTCACCTGAGGACGGCTGCTTGCGTTGTGGCCGAAACGTCGTGAGAATTATTTTATTATGTTTTATTTTTATTATTTTATTACTTCCCTTCTACGTGACTTTACCGAAAGAACCAAGAAGATGAACTCTATAGCAGTGTGTACTGGCTGTAGTAGTAGCTACATTAACTCTATAGCAGTATGTACTGGCTGTAGTAGTAGCTACATTAACTCTATAGCAGTGTGTACTGGCTGTAGTAGTAGCTATACTAACTCTATAGCAGTGTGTACTGGCTGTATTAGTAGCTATACTAACTCTATAGCAGCGTGTACTGGCTGTAGTAGTAGCTATACTAACTCTACAGCAGTGTGTACTGGCCATAGTAGTAGCTATACTAACTCTATAATAGTGTGTACTGGCTGTAGTAGTAGCTATACTAACTCTATAGCAGTGTGTACTGGCTGTAGTAGTAGCTATACTAACTCTATAGCAGCGTGTACTGGCTGTAGTAGCTACACTAACTCTATAATAGTACTAACTTCACAGTGTAGTGGTAGGGCCTAGTCCCGTGCAGAGCCCCTGGCCTTGCCTAGATTGCCCAGCCGGCCGAGGTGGCACCTTTGCAGGCTGGGGCTGGGCTGCTACCCCCCCCCCCTCACCATCCCCCGCCTGCGATACAGTAATAGTATCTAAGGGCTATAATAGAAGTATTTACTGACCCTAGAGTAGTAAGTGCACACATTGGGGTGGGGGGGGGGGGATTAGACGATATCACACTTAGAAGAATTTACCTCAGCGTTGTCTATTTTTTTTGCAACTTTAACGCGAATGAGAATTCCCCCCTCCCCCCACCGATCACGTGTGTGCGTTGCTAGCGGCAACCACAGGTCAGCTTTCTCACGCATGCGCAGACGCGTGCTCAGCGTAGTAATATAATAATTTATAGTACTAAATTGTAAATTTGCCTACTTTCATGTTGACAGATGTGAAATACGAACAGCGCTTTTTCGTCCCGGGGCATACGGCGTGGTATCCGTGTACTTTTTCGATACGTAAACCCCACAGTTTGTCAGTTAAAGACGTCTCAAGGTACCCGTGCAGGCAGACAGACATACACGCAGACACACAAACAGACATAAAATGACTAATATAGGTAAGATAAATGTGTATGCTTCATTGCTTATCTTACGCTCTCTAAGTTGCCATTGAGTCTCCCAGCTATTTGGCAGCACCCAAAGATTCTCATTTCCTTGCTGGTCCGAAAAAACCCAGCAGCTCCAAACGGGCCCAAAGAGGACAGCCATGAGTATCAGGACGCCACGGTGGCTAGGAGATGTTAACTCCCTCGCCTGGTATACAAGAGGTCGTGGGTTCGATCCCGACCCCTGACTATGGCTGCTGCTGTATACAGTAATCCCTCGCCACTTCGCGGTTCAAGTTTCGCGGCCTCAGTGCATCGCGGATTTTTCGAACTGATTTAAATGCCTCATAATACCTGTGCAGTAACACCATCATCATCATTCATCATCACATTCATCGAACTGCACAGGTCTGTCATCGTCGTCATTGTCATCGTCGTCGTCGTCATTACATGAGTCAAGTCTTAAGATACTACTGTCATTGGTGAGTGTAGAACACCATAATACGTATCGTATGAGATAGAGTGAATGTATAATATTAAGGTTTTATAATTAAATAGATTTAAGTAAAATATATATATAAAGTATAAATATACATATTTTAAACATTCTGGTACCCACACACACATATACGGAAATTCCTTGGGGCCAATCCTACTTCGCAGATTTTCACCTATCGCGAGGGGTTCCGGTCCCCATTAACCACGATAAACGAGGGATCACTGTATTTGGAGTCTGCACGTCTCTATCTCTCTCATCATTATCAAGGTGGTTAGATGTTAACTCCCTCGCCTGATATACAGGAGGCCATGGGTTCGATCCCGACGCCAGCTGTATATGAGTCTGAGCATCTCTCTCTCATCATCATCATCACGATGGCGAGGAGATGTTAACTCCTTCGCCTGGTATACAGGAGGTCGTGGGTTCGATCCCGACCCTGACGCCTGCCATATATTTGGAGTCTGCGCCTCTCTCTTACCCCGCGGTGGTCACTGTGTGGATTTTTCCCCGGGTCCTCCGGTTTTCCCCTCCACATTTAGAATAAACGTCACGTGTTCAAAGTGATTTTGCTGCTGCTCTAAATGTCCAGGTGATGGTGATATCAGCCACTTTGTTGAGCTGCCATCATCTGTGATGGCCAGGGACACTTCTGAAAATGGGCTTAGATATGGCTCCGTGGTCTTTACCTGGTAACCTGCAGTTCAAAAAGAGAGAGAGATTTAGATTTAAAGCTTTCACTACTGCAGGAATTCATATTCTTGGTTCTTTCGGTAAAGTCGCGTAGATAGAAAACAAAAATCAAGTGGGTTTTTTGCTTTCAATTGAGATTTTTGCCTTCTATCTACGCGACTTGACCGAAAGAACCAAGGATATGAGAGAGATAGAGTTGAATTGCATGGACCTCATGACAGAGACCGAGAGAGGGACAGCGAAACAGAGACAAAGAAATCGAGACAGAGAAAGAGAGACGGAGAGAGAAGACAAAGAGAGAAAGACAGAGAAAGAAAGAGACAAAGACAAGGAGAAAAAGAGACAGAGAGACAGACAAAACAAATAGAGAGACAGACAGAGAAAGACAGACAGAGACAGACTTTGACTTTTAAACAACTTTTATTGCCGCCAGCAGCAAATGCACTGGAGGCGAATTCAATATGAAACAGAGAAAGAGAGACAGAGAAAGAGAAACAGAGAGAGAGACAGAGCGAGCTATCATTTGTGACGACCAGGTCGCTTCTAAACAGGAGCTACGTATCATCTCAGTGGGGGTCCCCCCCTATACGCCTGGTCAAATGAAACAAAACCAAAATTTGCGTGACATTTGTGAATGCCAGGGGCCGATTTATAGTGCCCGTCCATGACCACCGGCGGGGGTTTACGCCTCTCTGCCTGCGGCCTGTTGTTCCTCTCCCTCCATAGTACCATGATGCCCGGCTTTTTGTCGGATGGCACAAAAATCCACTCGATGTCCAGGACTCCGACGTCTTGGGCCGTGACGGAGAAGGCGCAGGCCAGGGACACGGAGGCTCCCTGCAGCTTCTGGATCACCTCGCCGCCCGTCGACGTGATTGTGAGCGCCAGGGACGTGCCTACAACACAGACGACGCACGGACACAAGCGGGAGAGGATTAACGGACTGTTGGGGGGGGCGAGGGGCGTACGTGTGCACACACTCACACACACTCTCTCTCACTCGCTCACTCAATCAATCAATCACACTCACACACGCTCACACGCTCTCTCATGCTCGCTCGCTCAATCAATCACACTCACACTCGCTCTCTCAATCAATCACACACTCAATCACACTCACACACACTCCCTCAATCAATCACACACTCACACATACTTTCTCTCACTCGCTCACTCAATCACACTCACACACACTCACTCAATCAATCACACACTCACACACACTCACTCTCACGCTCGCTCGCTCAATCAATCAATCACACTCACACACACTCTCTCTCACTCGCTCACTCAATCAATCACACTCACTCACACTCGCTCTCTCACGCTCGCTCAATCAATCACACTCACACTCTCTCTCACACTCGCTCGCTCAATCAATCACACTCACTCACTCACACTCGCTCGCTCAATCAATCACTCTCGCTCAATCACACGCACTCACTCACGCTCAATCAATCACACTCTCTCTCACGCTCACTCGCTCAATCAATCACACTCACTAAATCACACGCACTCACTCACACAATCAGTCACACACTCACTAACTCACTCGCTCACACTCACTCTCGCTCAATCAATCGCACTTTCACACACTCGCTCGCTCATTCACGCTCGCTCAATCACACACTCACTCACGCTCGCTCAATCACACACCCACTCACGCTCGCTCAATCACACTCACTCACACTCTCTCTCACACTCACTCACACTAACTCACACTCTTTCACACACTCTCTCTCGCACTCGCTCGCTCACTCACACTCACACTCTCTCTCACACTCACTCGCTCACTCACACGCTCACACACATGTAGAGGCACAAAGACAAAGATCCCCCTTGTAGCCTGTAACAGACTGATGGGGCAAGTGCTGTCAGTAGCGATCAGCAGCGCATACGAAGGCTACCGGCACTGTGGCACACGACGGCGTGGGAGGCCAGCACCACGCCCGGCCGCCTTTGTCTCTCCCCAGCGGCAACGTTTACTACAACACCACCACCACCACAGCACCAGGTGACTCATTTGAGGCCGAGTCGACCTAGGGGAGGCCCAGGACCGGTTTTGGATCATCGTCACCGGCAGTGTTGGTGGTCGTGAGCGGGAATCGAACTCGGGACGCCGGGTTCGTAGCGCAGCATAGCTCTAACCACGACCACACACACAGACACACACACACAGGCACACACACACACACAGATACACACACACACAGACACACACACACACAGAGACACACACAGACACACACACAGACACAGACACACACACAGACACAGACACACACACAGACACACACACACACAGACACACACACACACAGACACACACACACACAGACACACACACAGACAACAACAACAACCGCCATTCGCCACTAAGTGGCGGTGACGTCACCACGACGCTTGTGCCAGGCACAGACACACACACAGACACACACACAGACAACAACAGCTGCTGTTCACCACTGCGTGATGGTGACATCACCGCAGCGCTTGTACCAGGCTAGGTGCACATTGAGGCTGTCACGAGGAGGTGAAAGGACAGCTGCAGGTGCCAAACTAGGTGCACGAGGAGGTGGTCACGGGACAGACCCTGCAGGTGCCATGGGTTGACTGCTGTGCCAGGCTCGGTGCAGGAGGACGTCACGGGACAGACCCAGCAGGTGCCATGGGTTGACTGCTGTGCCAGGCTAGGTGCACGAGGAGGTGGTCACGGGACAGACCCAGCAGGTGCCATGGGTTGACTGCTGTGCCAGGCTAGGTGCACGAGGAGGAGGTCACGGGACAGACCCAGCAGGTGCGATGGGTTGACTGCCGTGCCAGGCTAGGTGCACGAGGAGGAGGTCACGGGACAGACCCTGCAGGTGCCATAGGTTGACTGCCGTGCCAGGCTAGGTGCACGAGGAGGAGGTCACGGGACAGACCCAGCAGGTGCCATGGGCTGCACTGCTGTGCCAGGCTAGGTGCATGAGGAGGAGGTCACGGGACAGACCCTGCAGGTGCCACGGGTTGACTGCTGTGCCAGGCTAGGTGCACGAGGAGGAGGTCACGGGACAGACCCTGCAGGTGCCACGGGTTGACTGCTGTGCCAGGCTAGGTGCACGAGGAGGAGGTCACGGGACAGACGCAGCAGGTGCCATGGGTTGACTGCCGTGCCAGGCTAGGTGCAGGAGGAGGAGGTCACGGGACAGACCCAGCAGATGCCATGGGTTGACTGCCGTGCCAGGCTAGGTGCAGGAGGAGGAGGTCACGGGACAGACCCAGCAGGTGCCATGGAGTGGACTGCCGTGCCAGGCTAGGTGCACGAAGAGGTAGTCACGGGGCAGACCCTGCAGGTGCCATGGGTTGACTGCTGTGCCAGGCTAGGTGCACGAGGAGGAAGTCACGTGACAGACCCTGCAGGTGCCAATGGGTTGACTGCTGTGCCAGGCTAGGTGCACGAGGAGGTCACGGGACAGACCCAGCAGGTGCCATGGGTTGTACTGCTGTGCCAGGCTAGGTGCACGAGGAGGACGTCACGTGACAGACCCTGCAGGTGCCAATGGGTTGACTGCTGTGCCAGGCTAGGTGCACGAGGAGGAGGTCACGTGACAGACCCTGCAGGTGCCATGGGTTGTACTGCTGTGCCAGGCTAGGTGCACGAGGAGGTCACGTGACAGACCCTGCAGGTGCCAATGGGTTGACTGCTGTGCCAGGCTAGGTGCACGAGGAGGTCACGGGACAGACCCAGCAGGTGCCATGGGTTGTACTGCTGTGCCAGGCTAGGTGCACGAGGAGGTCACGTGACAGACCCTGCAGGTGCCAATGGGTTGACTGCTGTGCCAGGCTAGGTGCACGAGGAGGTCACGGGACAGACCCAGCAGGTGCTACGGGTTGTACTGCTGCTGTGCCAGTCATGGACACAGACGACGTGGTGTGACGTCACCGCGGCGCTTGTGCCAGGCTGGGTGCACCATGCCACGCGCCAGCTTTGCCCTCCCCCCCCTCCACTCGCTCTCTGCGATCTTTGCCCCGTGGTCTCCCAGGCGACTGTGACGTCACCACGGGGGAGTGTGTGGGGGAGTAGAGGTGCATGTGCGTGTTTATATATGTGTGGGTTCGGTGGGTGGGTGAGTGGGTGGGGGAGTGAGTGAGTGGGTGAGTGAGTGGGGGAGTGTGTGAATGTGTGGGTGAGTGAGTGGGTGAGTGAGTGGGTGAGTGAGTGGGTGAGTAGGTGAGTGAGTGGGTGAGTGAGTGGGTGAGTGAGTAAGTGGGTGAGCGAGTGAGCGGGTGGGTGAGTGGCTGAGTGGGTGGGTGAGTGGGTGGGTGGGTGAGTGGGTGGGTGGGTAAGTGAGTGAGTGAGTGGGTGAGTGAGTGGGTGTGTGAGTGAGTGTGTGTGAGTGGGGGAGTGAGTGGGTGAGTGAGTGTGTGTGGGTGAGGGAGTGAGTGGGTGAGTGGATGAGGGAGTGAGTGGGTGAGTGACTGAGTGAGTGAGTGGGTGAGTGGGTGAGTGAGTGAGTGGGTGGGTGAGTGAGTGAGTCGGGGAGTGAGTGGGTGAGTGTGTGAGTGGGTGAGTGGGTGAGTGACTGAGTGAGTGGGTGGGTGAGTGAGTGGGTGAGTGGCTAAGTGAGTGGGTGAGTGGCTGAGTGAGTGGGTGAGTGGCTGAGTGAGTGAGTGAGTGGGTGAGTGAGTGGCTGAGTGAGTGGTTGAGTGGCTGAGTGAGTGGGGGAGTGAATGAGTGAGTGGGTGTGTGAGTGAGTGGGTGAGTGGCTGAGTGAGTGTGTGTGGGTGAGTGAGTGTGTGTGGGCGAGTGAGTGGGTGAGTGCGTGGCTGAGTCAGTGAGTGGGTTAGTGGGTGAGTGGGTGGGGGAGTGAGTGGGTGAGTGGGCGTGTGGGTGAGTGAGTGGGTGAGTGGGTGAGTGAGTGGGTGAGTGGCTGAGTGAGTGGCTGAGTGAGTGGGTGAGTGAGTGGGTGAGTGAGTGGGTGAGTGAGTGGGTGAGTGAGTGGGTGGGTGGGTGAGTGGGTGAGTGAGTGGGTGTGTGAGTAGGGGAGTGAGTGTGGGTGAGGGAGTGGGTGAGTGAGTAGGTGAGTGAGTGAGTGGGTGAGTGAGTGGGTGAGTGAGTGGGTGAGTGGGTGGGTGGGTGAGTGAGTGGGTGTGTGAGTGGGGGAGTGAGTGTGTGTGGGTGAGGGAGTGAGTGGGTGAGTGACTGAGTGAGTGGGTGGGTGAGTGGGTGAGTGGCTGAGTGAGTGGGTGAGTGGCTGAGTGAGTGGGTGAGTGGCTGAGTGAGTGGGTAAGTGGCTGAGTGAGTGGGTGAGTGACTGAGTGAGTGGGTGAGTGAGTGACTGAGTGAGTGGGTGGGTGAGTGAGTGAGTGGGTGTGTGAGTGAGCGAGTGGGTGAGTGGCTGAGCGAGTGGGTGAGTGGCTGAGTGAGTGAGTGGGTGAATGGCTGAGTGAGTGAGTGGGTGAGTGGGTGAGTGAGTGGGTGAGTGAGTGGGTGAGTGGGTGGGTGAGTGAGTGAGTGAGTGGGTGTGTGAGTGCGTGGCTGAGTCAGTGAGTGGGTTAGTGGATGAATGGGTGGGGGAGTGAGTGGGTGGGTGAGTGGCTGAGTGAGTGTGTGGATGAGTGGCTGAGTGAGTAGGTGTGTGTGGGTGAGTGGGTGGGGGAGTGGGTGAGTGGGTGAGTGGGCGAGTGGGTGAGTGGGCGTGTGTTAACACTTTTAATAACAACACTGACCGTGCGTGTATTCAAAGAGGTGACGTGACTGTATTCCCAGTTACGAGCAAGCCTCGCCTGGTATACAGGAGTTCGTGGGTTCGATCCCGACCCTGACGATGCCTACTGCTGCTGTATATTTGGAGTCTGCATCTCTCTCTCTCTCTCATCATCATCACGGTGGCTAGGAGATGTTAACTACCTC